CCTTGGGGTAATGAGGGAGATCAGCGCCTCTTGATCGTCCCCATTTCGACGCCAGCTCTCTAGGTATGGAAGACAGCAGCATAGATTGCAGACGTCGCCGCCTTTTGCACTAACCAACATCATACGTTTGCCTGTGACTTTGAAAATCTGCAATCTAATCATACGAATGGCAATCATGTACATCTCATATTTATTTCCCATGTAAACAGACAACAGTCATGACCATAAAAACCTAATACTTGAAATTATCATGAGTATAATTGCGACACCCCGATAATCTTTGTAAAGGTCTCAAATTTGAGCTAGTACTCCATCTATATGTCAAATCTGTAGGCACACATACAAACAACAACAAATGGGACTTAATTCAACAATAAAAATGATGACCAGTATGTCTAAAATATACCCTTGCGCTATCCATTTCCCATCATTTTCTCCTCCCTTTCTTATTTTTAGGAGGTGGTGGCGGTGGGCCTTTGATCGTAGCATGACCAGTAAGCTTGAGATGTTGAAACAACTTCGTTCGGCTTTCAAAGACTTCCTTGCATTTATGACAGATGTCGGTCTTCGGACCAGTGTTGACAGGATGAGAGATTTCCTGCGATGCAGCGGCTCCTTCATTGACAGGACTGTCCTTCTTTTCTGCTGCAATAAAGAAAATTCAAATCAGTCTACTCTTTGGAACCTACTCACCTCGTCGTTTTTTCTTTTCACTCTGCTTAGCAGCGGAAAGGAATATGTTCTCCTCATCTTCTAAATGCTCATCTGGGGCGTCTATAGACGCATTCGCCAATTCCTCGCCAAGTTCCGCAACAGGTTCGCCGAGCGTGTCGCTAAACGATGAGAGTGGAACAGGTCTCACCCAAACTGCATAAAGCATACCTATCGCGGAGCTCGGTACCGTTTGCTTCGATAGTCTCGTTGCCCTCATCTACCGCTTCAGCATCACTATCCTCATCCCATGCCTTCTTCTTTTTAGCCCTTCGTTTAGCCTTTTTACCTTTTTTCTCACCCTCAACTTTCTCTGGTGATGGCTCAGCTTTCAGTTGCTCCTCTGG